GCAGAGCGCGGGCAGCGGGCGGGGGAAGCCAGCTCTGCCTGATGCCCCAGCACAGATAACAGTTAACCCCGGGCCTGTGCAGCTCCTGGCCTCGCTGGAGCAAGGGCTGGTGGTGTCGGAGCCACGATAACCCACCGCGCCGCGGGTGCTCGGAGGAAGCGCTTGCCTTGGAAAGCGGCCAGGCAGGAGCAGCGTTCCCCTGCCAGGCTGGTTTGTGCCTTTTAATGAATACCAGGGATGTCTCAGGCCCATCTACATCAGCTCCTGCTCGGCAGCCCATCCTCCCCCTGTCGCTGTTAGATGCCAGAAGCAACAAATCCTTGCCGCCAGTAAAGCTCTGCCCTCCCTCCCCGTGCCCAGTGCCAGCGTGGGAACGGGACTGGTGCACTGTGGGCCGGGCATGGACGTGCCCTCCTCCCCCGTGTTGGCACAGGACCCCCCTGGTGAGCACGAGGGAATTACCCGCGAGGTCATGAAGAGCAGCTTGGTTTCCATGTCGGGAGTGAGGCGACACGCCAGGAATTTGCGAGAAGTCCTCGACTGGAGGAGCTGCAGGACACCTGGGGAGAGACAGAGGGGTCAGGGACCTACCGACAGCCACAGGAGCATTGCGCTCCGTTTCCCCAGGGCGACAGGCAGAGGAAAAGGATCAAGATTTTGGCTGGAAAAGGTCTCTTAAAACATCTCCTGGGCGGTGCCAGCTTTTGTCAGAGATCACTAATGAGGACTCCAGGAAGGAGAGCGTGGAGAAAGGGAGAGGGGTGCACAGGGACGAGATCTGGAGGAGAAATGAGAAAATTCAGACGCCAAGATCCAAGTTATAACCAAGAGAACACGTTTCCCACCTCCCACCCCTTGGCCTGAGCACCAAAAAGCCATTGAGGCGCAGAGAGCACCCATCCTGGGCTCTGCCAGCACCTACATCCAGCTCCTCCCCCGGAGTAAACGCACCCAGATGGAAGAACAAAGATCAGACACAACAGGAAAAAAAAAAAAACTTTGTGCATGGACACGCGTGTCGGGAACAGAGGATGGGAAGGAGAAGGGGAGGTTGCAAAAGCCGTTCTCGTTCCCAGACAGCTGCAAAGAGGAGGAATTTATGACCTGAGCAGAGAGGCTTTGCTGCTGCTTGACAAGACCTGAAGGATTTACGGGGCAGGCAGCGCTGACGCAGACAGGCGGGCGCCAGGGACGCCGCGCGCTCTCGCCGACTGGAAGTCAAGTCGCTCTCGCCCAGGGTCACACCTGGGCAACCGAGGGCTGGAGGAGGGAAGCTCAAAGCAGAAAGGAAAGATGCCAGCTCCGGTGGGGCTCAGAGAAAGGGCGGAGCGAGCTGCGGCAGCAGGGGAAGAGCCACAAAAGCATCTTGGTTGGTAAAGAGCTCCCAGCTGCTCGGAGGGACGATGGGTCCTGCGGTGGTTTCCCCGTGGAGCTCAGCAAGACCCGGATCGGAGGGTCCAGAGAGATAAAACCAGAGGGCAAGTGGGCCAACAGCTGCTAGAAGCAACAGCCACCTTGCAGAGCAACTATTACAGCAGGCAAGAGGGCCAAAGAAGTCGTTTTACGACCAACCGCAGGGGAAATCGTTTTGGGGAGGGGACTGCCAGGCTCCACATGAATGAGGGCACCCCTGGACAGATCAGGTTCTGCTCAGAGCCCCCCCCCCAGAGCCAGCGTGTTGCAGCTGAAGGAGAAACGTGCTGGTGCGTGCGTGTGCTGACCCGGGTGTGACCTCTCACCTCTACAAACCATCGGGCACTGGTTGTGGTGTCAAACAGCAGAAAAAAAGGGAACCAGAGGAGAAAGGGCAAAAACCAGGGGGAGTCTGCTAGTTGTTAGAAGAGAATGAGTGAGGAGCAGTGATGTCAGGTTATCGTTTTGCTGGGTCATTTGGCTAAAACTGGCAGAAAATCAGGAAATAACCCTGACCAGCTGCCCCTCCCAGAGTGGGAAGCGAGTGACGCTTCAGAGACAACTGTTGGGTGCCCTGGGACGCTCCGAGCACGGATGCAAAAGCTCAGCACTCAGCTGGGAAGATCCAGACGGAGCTAAGAAATGGTTCTAGTGAAGAAAGAGCTGCGGGAAGAGGCAGGGAAATGGGAAACGTGAGCCTGCCTTAGGCGCAGGGCTCAGACTAAGGGCCCCACAGGCTACCTCTGATAACCCAGCGAGGGGAACCGGGTCCCTGCAGCCCTTTGGCACATCTCAGCTGAGCCCAGCAATGACAGGAGACAGGTTCTGGGAGACGGAGAAGCAGCCAGAGATCACAGAGTTTAAGGAGCATTTAATCAAATGATGTGCCACGAGGTTCCCTGGGCATAATCTGAGATCTTTAAAGTGACATTAACACGGCCCCTGAGAGAGGAAAGCAGGCACTGGGGGCGCGGGGGAGAACACTTGAAAGCCCCATTTCCAAAGACTCACTAGAATTGCTGCAGACAGATCATGATGTGACAGCCCCTAGAGAAGTGAATAATTTATACCAATAAAAATTATAAATATCACACTCTCTCCATCGTGTCTATTTTAACCCGTGCTGTGCAGAGAGCTCCACGCCTCAGCGTTTGGCACACCAAGCGTGCTTGGCTACTGGGAGAAATAAATTCCTATTTGGAAAGTGTCTGTTGCTGCATCTTCTGGACTTTTTTGCTTTAGAGCTGGGGAGCTCCATCAGGCTCTTTTCTGGAGGCTGAAAGACTCAGGGACTTTATATCTCTGGGCTCCAGCTTCGTTTCGGGTTATAAATCAGTTTAAAAAAAAAAAGCAACAATTCTGGAAGTGTTAAATCCAGAACAAGCAACACAATTTAACGACTTGTCGTGGCCCAGTCGCATTCTCGTGAGCTATCATTACAGCTTCCTGAAGTATCTGGTTCTCAGGACGGTTTAAAGCCCAAACACCTACGAGGCCTCTGCAGCATTAAAAAAATTGGCAAAAGCTGCCAAGCGCGGGATCCGACCACGGCAGAGAGGCCCAGGCCCTGCCCCTATCCCTACGCTCCCGGCAGCCAGCAGAAAGCTGCTTTTGGAGGCATCTTCATCCAGTCAGTGACGAGAGGGGCTCCGGATGGAGCCACGTGGGCCTCGATGCGGATGGAGGTGGGATCTGACGCTGTAATTATAGCGCTCTCCGCGAGTTCTCCTCTAAAAGAGCAGCTGGAAGGAGCCCACACACCTTTCGCAGGGCTGTGACGCAGCCGGGGAGCTCTAGCACAGGCCTGAGAGCCAGGCGGGCTGCCGCGGAGCGAAAAACTCTGCGGGATTTTTTTTTTTTTGCTCCATCTCTCCCCAGAATTGGCTGAGAGTCATGGCAGCCTTGCCGTAAGGGCGTGAGGAGGCAGGAGGGGGTTGCCTGTGGCTAGCAGGGCTCTGGCAGGGGCTCGCCAGCCTGCCTACCTGTGAACTGTGCGCTGAGGACCTGCGGGTTGTGGATGATGTCCTTCCAGAGCTGCTCGAACTCGGGGATCCTCGCAACGTTTTGAAGCAGCCGCACAAGGTCCCGGCCGATCATGAAGCAGTCCATGAACTGGGGGGGGGGGGGAAAAAA